AACAACCGACTGCATTTTTATCACCTGCTCCCGCGAATGCCAATTTTAATTAATCAACTACAAATTGGCACACATTGGTCTCCGTTATCGCATCCACATGCATCACAGCAGGAAAACACCATGGGGATATGTTCAAACTTGTGGTAGGAGCAAGGAAACAGGAGAAGGCGACCGCCAACCAAGCACGTATGAAATTGTTATCTGCTGCCCCAGCCATATCCTTAATCATTTTGCACCAAGTTGTTAGTGTTGGTAAGCCTTTGGTGTTAATATTGAAGATTGTGTTCATTTGGGATGTGTAATCTGCTCTCTTCTCATAGCAAACCTTCCTCCCCTTGTTTGGCAGACCCCAAATCCTATGAACACTTGCTGCATCTACTGGAATCTTGCCCCTCTCTGGGATGACCAGTTGGGAAATTTCAGGGTCGTAATGCTTCATAACCCACTGACTTAAGTCTCCTGGCATGCTACATGTTGTAATCTGTAACAAACCTCCAAACTCTATTCGAATTACCGCATCCTTGTGAAATTGTACTAAATCTTTGTTTACTTTGAACAACCTTGCTGGTGATGCCCTGTTCCTGCGACCCTACAAGCAAGAAAAAATGGGCTAAGTTAAACTCTGTGTGAATTTTTTTAGCAAGTATCAAAATTGTTCCCATGATGATGCGATGTTTGTCCTATACAGAATACCATCATTTGTTCTTATAACTTCAACATGCTCAATACTGCTAGTGGCCTTGCTTACGCACAATTTAACAGCCAAAAACCATACGTAGAATTACTAAAAATAACACATTCATCACGCAACTTCTAAAAAATGCACAAAATCAATACAGCCTTGAAAAAAATGGAACCTGAAAACTACGATTCATGATGCATGGATACCTCATTTCCGCATGTTTTTCGCGTTTTGGCTTTGATTCATCCTCCCGAGTGACCTCCTTGCCTTCTGAATCATCATCTTGTGCACTTGCATTGCTATCTATGTCTGACGGGCGATTCCCACGACAAATTATTCCTTTAGTGTGCCTACGCTTGTAGCCAATCATAGTTGGGTCCTATTGCTGTAATGAGTGTGCCTGCATTGGGGGAAAATGTGTTCATCTATTTCGCATTGAAAAAAGTCACAAAACTCGAACATGGCAAACAGCACAGACGCTCCTCCATGCCATGCTCAAAGCTCTTACCTCTGCCTCATACACCCTCTTGGTTTGCTTGTAAATCCTGACCATCACTTTCGTACCTTACCTCGAACATTTTCGACACTGTAACACATAATACAGTATTTTTAGGTTGCTAATAAAAAAGGGACTTCACTACTTGTAACACTGTAGGTTGCTTACAAAACATGAAAAAAGACATTTCCTAGAGCTTGCTGATGAACCATTAAAGCAACACAAACTGGATAAGGAAACTCTATAAATTACGCAGCTACTGATTAGGCAACTTTGGTTCAGACTAACGCACAACTTGTATGCTGATTTCTGGCAAGTTACTAAGAAAAATAACCTCTAGCATCCTAGAAAAAAAATGGGCCAAACAAAAATGTAGAAAAACAAGTCCAACAAATTATGTGTCGAACGCTGCCCCAACAATCTATAAGTTTCAGCAAATTACACCAACATTGATCAGGCATCTTACAGATTAAGAAAATCTGGGCATCTTAAAAGCTTTTAATCCTCTTATACATGATATTCATACTTTTGTAGGTCCAATTTGCAATTTTGCAGTTCAGAAAATTGTGATGGAAAAATACAACAGAATAATAGATGTCCATAAGAGATACATGCAGAAAACAAACAAATAAAGACACTTGTCAAACACCATTACGAATTGATATCATGAGTATAACGGGAAGACATGGTTTAGGAAGCACCATGTGTGGTGCCAAACACAAAGGCTAAACAAAAGCAAGTATTCCGTGAAGTGGTCTGTTGTAGTCTGATACTTTAGCATATGTCTTGCAAATGGGGACCACTATCGACACCATCAAGTTAATTATTCAATGAAAACTGAGCTAAACAAACTCCTTTGATAAAAGAAATCTGAGCAACTCGAGGAACGCACTAGTACTAGTAGATCGGACAGCGCTACAGCCATTTCGGCAACTCATGCAGCCTCAATCAAGCAACCCATGCACAATGTCGAAGCAACTCGGTGAACAGCCCCAGTACAGGTAGATCAGACAGCTCTAAAAAAGTTTCGGCAACTTAATCAACGTTGAATAGGCAACTTGTATACAATGTCAAAGCAACTCGATGAACGCCCCCACGACTAGTAGTTCAAAACATCTATAATTTCGCCAACTCATATAGCCTCAATCAGGCAACTCCTACACAAAAATCAGTCAAAGGTGAAAGCATCATGGTCATGTGCAATGCTCACGTACAGAGACAATAATTGACACTACAAATTTACAGGTGAAAGCATCAAGCCATCAAGGTCTTCAACAAAACCCTGCAGTGCAGTCTGAATCTTCAAACAACTCTAATTTGCCAACTCATAAAGCCTCAATCAGGCAACTCCTACACAAAATCGAAGCAAATCCTCAAAAAAATCCTAAACGAAGTTCACAAACATCTGCCAAAAGCAAACGCCCATCTCAGACCAAACAGATCTGGGACGAGAACTGACAGCACACCCCTAATCCCTCACAACATGACCCCATGGTTCCCCACCACGAGGCTCCACGATTCATCCCTACCATGAAACGTGAAGCAAAACCACTACGATCTATGGGAGCGTGATTACATCCACCTCCCTGCTCGCATGAATCCCAACCAAATCCCAACCCTCCGCAACATCGAGAACATGCAGAAAGTAGAGAGAACGGTGGTGATGGGTGCATACCTCAGGATTCCAGAATACTAGGCCACCGGACACGCAGCGCAGTCGGCGACCTTCACTGCGCACCCCTTTTGCCCTGGACGCGACGAGATTGAACCTGTTCCGCCTTATTCTGCGGGGGGCACGCGCACCTACGCACACTCGCGCAGCTCTGACGCTCAAACTCCGCCGCCGCGCACGCCCTCCGCTCACCGGCAGCCGTCGGGGGCTTGGGGGCCGCGGTTGAACTTGCGAAGAACAGGGGGAGAGAAATGGCGCCGAGGAGGGAGGGAGAGAATGGGAAGAGGATTGGGGGCGGATTGGGGGGATTGGGGCGGTGGCTCTGGGCAGTTTCGAACACGATGCCAACGGACAGGACGTGTGGGTAGTGGTGGGCCCTCCCAGGTGAATATGTGTCGCGGGGAGGCTGAACCGTCCGTCCCGACCAGGGAAGACCTAGGCTTGATCTCGCGCGGGCTGACGAGATCGGATGGTGATAAAAGGTGTGTGCTGAAATGTGACAACCAGCATCCACTTGCTTTTTAGCATTTAGGAAGGTTAATCCCCTAATAATCACGAGACTAGACATAAAGAGTTAGTGAGAAAGATATCAAAACAATAGGAAAGAGTCGCGGTAACAGATTAATCTTTTTTTTGCATGGTAATACGTGTCTCATTCATATCATAAAGATTAAAGTACAAGTCACGTAAGGACCGACATGACAAAACGGAAAAGATAGCAGAACATCTCTGAGCTTGACACCAACGTCCATCACCTGCCTCCGGCACCACGACAGCAGCCACCGAAGAAAAGAATGATGGATCACCTCCTCACCCCGAGCTCGACGCGGCTCCATCGTTGATATGCAGCTTTGCGGACCTCCAAGATGGCTCACCAAAAATAAAGCCCTTAGCGTTGAACGAATCAGACCGGGGCAACACCCCGAACACGCCATCGAACTCCAGATCTGGCACCCCACCGCGACTAAGACGTCGCGAAAGGAAACCATACCTGCCATCCACGAACCACGAACCCAGCACATGTTCCGTCTTCCAGATGTCGTCGATGCAGACCACAATCTGCATCCGCTCCTGGACTACCTCCCAAGCTCCGCACCGACGCTGGAGCAAACGCCGTCGCAACGGCGGAGCCCGAGGACACAGGTCCACCACGAGGATGCCGCCGCCGCCACGCCATCCTTACTTGAACAGACTGGTTTCCAAATCCATTCCCAACCATAGGACTAATGGCCTTGTCAAGGAAGTTTCTGAAGAATCTTTATTCAGCGCTGTCATCGTCGCCGCCGAAACAAAGACGATGAACAGCCTTAAAATCTAAAACTACGAGAGAGTAAAAACGATCCACACGCGTGGATCCGGCGACCCCCCCTCACCACCGACGACCGAGGTCGCCGGCGGAGGGGAGCCGCCGGAGGACGGCGCTGAAAGATTGGGTCTCCTGGCGGCGGCTAGGGTTTCCAGCCGCCAGGGACAGGAGTAGGCAAGCAGTAGGCAAGGAGGGAACTCGATGATGCCTCCTCGGTTACAGATTAATCGAAGACCTTCATACGAGCGGGAGCACTCGTACGACCGGTCAACTCACGCACCCTCCATTGATGGTTCGTACCATCCTTGCTGGGCGCGAGATATAGGGGCGCCCGTTTTCAGAGGGTGATGGCATTTGTGAACGATTTTGATGGCAGATTTAGTTGTCAGTTTTCGTTTTTTCAGGCATTTGCGAAAATTGCCACCATTCGATCGCGATCAGACGGCTGTGTGGGCGTTCGCTGGGGCCTCCCTCCCAGCCGACGTTCGTTAGATAACACTAAAAAAAAAATCCTGTGCGGGGGCGTTCCGCCCGCCACCTAGGGTTAGAGAGAGATCGGAGGTGGGAGATGTGCTGGCTGCCGCCCCGCCGGTGGAGTGTGGAGGCAGCCCAGCTCCCTCTTCCCGCCGTCATCATCCGGGTCTCTAGACGAAGAGATTGAATCCGTTTCGTGTTCAGTCTACGAGGTGTAGTCCGAGGCGCAAACAAAGCCAACATAAACTGACCAGTCCGGCGGACCGGAAGCCACCAGATCTCAGACGAGACCAGGTTCACGGACGCGTCCCTTCTCCGGCGACCGGCGGCCACCCATACTTCCCTGACCTTGGCAGATCTACCCGGAGCCATGGGGGTGAGTTCCTTGTCCTTTTTCTTCTTCTGATGAGAAAGAACGCACTCGAATTAGGGGTCAAAATTGCAGAATTTTTTTCATTGAAGATGCTAAAAATTGATACCCTTTAGACTCAATCAGAACTATATTTTTCAGACCGTCGAAATATCTCTTCTAGTGGGAATATATCATATTGCACAGCTTTGTGACTAAATCCAATTTGCATTTGCACCTTTGCGACTGTAGTATGGTAGAACTTCATCTTTGGGACTATATCATATATGATTTGTTTCATGCCACAAATGCAGAAAGGATACCGAGGCGATAGGCTCAGCAACTTGCCTGACGACATTTTGCTCAATTTTCTTGACCGACTCAATGTCCCCAACGCTGCCAGAACCAGCATACTCTCCAGACGGTGGAGTCAGCTTTCTACCATGCTTTCTAGACTGACAATAAGTGTTTTCGATTTCCTGCCTCACATAGGGCCTATATTCGAAATTGATGAAGTAGTTCGGAGTAATGCAGCTGTGGTTGAAGCAACCATGAGCATCCTGGCACGCAGGGATGCGGCCCGAAAAACCATCCACCTGCTGTCGATGACTTTCTTCTTAAAGGATGGTGACCCCATATCCATTGGACATGCTGTTACCAAGACTATGGCGACACACAAGGTTGAGATGGCTGAATTCATCATTATGACAGAGAGGGATGCCAGTCAGTGCGACGATGATGATCTAGCCAGCTATGCGAAACAATTCATCTCATTCTTTGACGCTTGCCCAGGTGCATTTGGTGGTCTCACACGCCTGCACCTTGAAAATTTGGGATTTGGTAAATCAGACATCACTAACATCCTCATCATTTGTAAGCTATTAAAGGATCTAAGTCTGTTCCATTGTCACACTGGGGATACGACCACGCTGCAAGTAGATCACTCTGAACTCAGTGACCTCAGTGTCGTTGATTGCCGTTTTGAAGAACTTCTGCTGAACTCTGTCCCAAAACTCACAAGGTTGACCTTTGGGGGTTGGATCTCTTTCCATTATCCACTTTCTCTTGGTGATGCCCCATTGCTTGAGGCCGTCAACCTCACTAATGAGCGTCGCAGTTGGCACAAGATGGTCGGGTTAAGTAAGTTCCTTTCTGGTACCTCTGCGTGACCTGAAGTTGGGATTTAAATGTGAAAAGGCAAGTCAAGTTGGTCGTTTTGTTGGCTGTGGCTTAATTATTTTTCTGCTCTTCTCATGACTTGTTTATTCGTTGCAGATCTGGGTCCAACCAGAGTGCTTGACGAAAAGTCTGGCATCTGTTTTTCGCCAATTAAGGTTTGTGAATCTAGATGAAATTCCTGAAGGGTATGATCTGACCTGGACACTGTTCATCCTTAAAGCTGCACCCCTCCTGAAGCAGCTATATATGACGGTATATTCTCGCCTCAAGCGCGCTATCTTCTTTCAACAGTATGCAGCTACCCTTAGACCTCTGCTGGTGCAAGTATCCTGTACAATGCAGCTATGAAGCACTGATATTGGGACACGGGCATGATGATACGGGTATGGGGACATGGGATACGGCTTATTGGGACACGGGCATGACGATACGGGGTATGGAGACATGGGATACGGCAATTTCAAGAAACAGCTCTATGGCGATATCAGGATATGGCTATGGCGTGAGATGAGATCAAAGATGCTGCTCCATCTTTTGCCTCCACGCCTCTTTCCAAGTGCTTGTGGTACATGCCTGCAGATGCCATGTCGGTATGTCATTGCCTAGCCTGAACAACAGCAACATCAGCAGGTCAGCAGCAGCAAGCAACAGCATTGTACAACAGAGCAAAGCAGCCAAGCACTAGAGCAGCAGTAAGCCAGCACTCAGCACCAGCGGCCAGAGCCCAGCAGCAAGCCAGCAACGCACGCAGCAGCTCGCACGCACACACGCACTCAGCAAGCAAGCACCCAGCGGCCAGCCAGCAAGCATGCGGCTTCTTGCACACACGCACTCAGCAAGCAAATACACGGCAACCAGCAAGCAAATGCCCACTGGCCAGCGCACCGGAGGAGCACAGCAGGCAATAGGCGACAGCAGTGCGAACTGTGAACCGGAGGATAGCAGGGATTTGGGGAAGAAGCCTTGCTAGCGACTGGCGGCGGTGAAGCATTCCTGGCCGTGCGGTCGTGCCCTTGCTTGATCCAATATCGTGCCCGTTTAATCGAGGAAATAAAGTTGGGCTGTGCTCCCGTGTCCCATGTCCCGACGTGTCTGACGGCTTGCTGGCGGTGTATCGCCTTTTTTGTTCATTTCTTTTTTAATCGGGAACTGGATATTCTAGGGATATGCATATCGTCCGCGTTTCGTACGCACACATGGCGGACCTGGGCGTGTCAGTGCTTTGTATTCATGCGGTGCCACATAAGCAAAAAAGATGTGATAGTAGTATCATCGCGAACAAAGCAAGAAAATTTAATGCCAAATAAAATCTTGCACACAAGTTCACATTGAGATTCTAAAATTAATAAACAAGGTGATGTGATACTAGGCTATGATACTATGCAATTTAATAAATTCAATCACTCTGATACTACTCACTACCACTGTCAGAGGCCTTATGTGAAGCGATCTATGTGGAATACAAATGGCAAGCAAAATCAATAGCCTGTTTCTATTTAACCTTTGCCCTATGATGTGCAGGTGTGGGATCATCTTTGTAAAATGGAAACAGACGAGGAGAAGAGGAAGGAACTCTTGTATAGCGAGGACAAGGGTGTAGAGTGCGAATCATCTGCTTCTGGTTTCCGTCATGACAATCTGGCCACGCTCGTCATATTTGGTTTCAGATCTGAAGAGTACATGGTGAGCTATATCAGGCGTGTAATGGAAGCAGCGGTGAATCTGGAGGATGTGTTCCTGTATCATAGGCTGGCTTGTAGGAAGTGCGTTGCCTATTCTCCAAAGCGGTCATTCAAGTTCCCATGGACCAAGAGGCAGAGATCGTATGTGAAGAAGAGAATAACTGAAGGGATCGACTCGCCTGCCATAATTCGCTTCCCGACCGCTGTTGGAATTAGGGCTGATCATCTTGCAAAAAAGAGGTATCCGTAGTGTTTGCAGTTTGTACTTCCTTCATGCCCTGAAACTGAAACGTCCTGTAGTAGTAGTAGGCTGTTTGATACCTGTCAGTACTTGTGAACGGCTACTGCCTCCATCTGGGTTTATAAATCGGACACCGGTTCTTGTGTTTTCATTTTGACTAACGAAACATAGTTATATGATAATAAAAAGTGTATAAATTCTCATCAATGAAATTTCTGAAAATATGATATTACACATGTTTTTTAAGTCAACTTGAAGACCCAAAAACCTGGACCTGACTACCATTCCCGTCTGGAGGTTGAAAGCGATTTGCCTAGTTATTATGCCTATTCGCCATGAGCCTTGGCAACTCATTTCGGCGATGCCCATAGTTTCTTATCTGTTTCTCTCCTAAAATCTCAAAGTTTCTTTTCTTAAAGAAAATTATGATAGCAGCTCAAATGAATAAATTGTGATAGGACTGGCTCCGTGTCGCTCGCGGTGGGTGATCCGGGAGAAACCCGCCGCCGGCGGCTCCTCCAACCCACATCCTCCTTCTCCCCCCGTCGCCGTCAGAGGGCGACGCCGGGCAAAGCCCGCGTGGCGGGGACGGTTATACCTCCTCCTGTCTGGGCGTGGCGGTGGGGATTCACGTGTGACCGGGGGTGCCGTCCGGCTGGGGTGGCGAGGTGTCGCAGGCAGTGCGGAGGCGTGGGTGGCTGGTCGTACGGGGATCCGCTGCTGCTTTGTTGTGGCGAGATCCTTCGCCAGATCTGG